ACAAAATTTTTTTTCATCTTCACTCCATTCCTTCTTTTTCTTTCTTAATTGCATTAAAGTTAGTACTTTTGAGGTCTCACTTTTAAATGCAAATTTATCAATATTTACAATATTATTACCATACATTTTTTTGCGCAATCTATTGTATTTATCTTTTTCTTTCTTTAGAGTTTTAGTAACATGATTAATGCTACTTTTTAGCTTCTTGCACTTTGGAGTATCACCATCATCACCTCTGTCAATCTGACGTTTTCTAGATTTGGGTGTGCTAACATTATCTATAACGAAAGTTTCTTCTTCCTGATCTTCTTTCGATTTAAAACTTTTGTAAACTTTTGTAGGTGTTTTAACCTTTAATTCTGGAGAAAATTCTTGAGCTATAATATAAAATTATTTGTTATTAAAGGACTATTAATAATTCATATTTTATATGAATCATATATAGTAACAAATATGCTACGGTCATTATTTTGGCTTGGTTGGGCATTGTGCACGTAAATAGGAATTTAAATTATATTATTATATTATATATAAAATTAAGATTTAGAAGTGACGTGATGGGTGCACAGCGATGGGTGGGACACACTTCTAAACGTTTTTAATTTGACTAAATGTTTTTATTTTCAAGGATTCGAGTTTTTACTATGTTTACTAGATGTAACAGTTGCTTTAATTTCAGGGTTAAACATTTGTTGTATTAAATTGTGACATTTGGGACACCATCTTGTGACAGGTGAGACAAGTTACATTTGAATACATAGAATTTAAAAAAATACAATGTTTATATGTAGAACCATCATTTGTAAGCAATGTTTTTATAATTCTTATAATTAAGAAATTTTAACACATAAAAAAAGACAATTAAAAAGTACAACATTTTTCCTGATGATTTTTAGTATCAGGAAATTCATGAAGTCTGTTTCCACTAGTTTTAACTATATATTTCAGTAAAATTTCTAAAATTTGATATATTTTGATATGATACATAATCTTCAAGGATGTGGCAGGATTTTTCAAATTTATTAACGCATTTTACCTGAGTGACTTTGATTCATGTCATCATAGATAGTGTTTCAAGAAAAATAATAGGATTACTTTATCAGTCCTTTAATTGTTTTTTTTGTGTTAAAATGTCTTAATAAGACAAAAATTATGAAATATTTGCTACTAAGATGGACCTCATATTAAGCAATGTAATTTGATTAATTCTGTGTACTCAACTATAACTCGTCCCACTCGTCACAAACTCACGTCCCACCCGTCACAACTTAACATATTAATTTCCTTAAAATTTATCAAAGTTATTAATTAAGTGTATATATAAAATAGAATTCTTAACATTCAAGTAATCATATAATAAAAAAATGAATCCATCAACTCAAACAGCCGGGTGTTGTGAGTGTCCCACCCGTAACAATTAGAAAATTATGTAAATAAATAGTCGCAGTTGAATTGCACATCTGGCTTCATGATATTTTCATTTTAAGTCTAATTAACCAATGGTTAGGGAGAAATTACTTAAACTTCAAGAAAAAAGGAGTCAAAATGTCCCACCCGTCACTTTGGAATGGCCCATATTACAAAACAAACCTATGTACACTTAAACTTTTCTTTGTGAAAAGCAACCAAAATTCACTGAGAGCATAATGGTTTTGTTATAAATCGATTTTTGAGATTATGAAAATTTTTGTTGACGTTTAGTTGGAATCTAAAATTTGAAACATTGAAATATTTCTTATAATATGTCAAGTAAAACTAATAGAGAGACACAGTTATTTTCACATTTATAATAATTGTATGTATCTGCACCACTCTTTATTATTTCTTTAAGTGAATTTTGTACAAAATTCAACATAATATTAACATATATAATAATGAATATTGACAGAAAAGAGTGTTCAAGTAGTTTGCACCAGAAGCTAAAAATGGCGCATTTTGTTATTAAGTTTCCAGTAGAAGCTGAATATGTCGAATTTTTGGGCCTATAAATTCTTTTTTAAATTGTAATGACATTACAATTTAAATGAAGTGTTTTAGTTTTTTTATATTTCATTACATATCACTACGCTTATATGTATAGGTTAATTCTGGACATTTTTTTGTGGTTTGTGTATTAGACCCGTTGTCCATTTGTTGGTAGGTCAATGATAAGTACCTTTGGATGTCGATGGTTCAGGTGATTCTCGAGATGTTGATTGTATTGGTGATTCTTGAGAGTTCGTTTCAGTGGCTTTGTACGGCATTGGTATTGCTAATTTTGATAATCTTACCCTTTGAGCAGTTTCATTTTTAACATATTCTTTAGCAAAGTGGTCTATACATATGCATTTGTTACGTAATTGTTCTGGTTTCAGATGAGTAATAGTCATATTACCTAAAACAAATAGCAGATATGTAGAATAAAGAAAATAACATCAGAATATCGTGGTTAGTGATTAAATATCTCACATCTTCTTTAAAACAAAGGAAAAAACTTACCACAATTCGCGAGCCAAATTTGTAAGAGATTGTAGTTGTTCGTCGGGAAACGAAACATAGACTTTTGGCTGGCTTTATTATGGCAATTAAAGTAGGCACACTTGGACGGGGCCATTTTCCAAAGATATTCCAATCTGAAGGCAAATTCCAAGTCCGTTTACAAGCAGGGTCGTATGTTGAGCGTGTCACGTCAGATAAGTAAGAGTTAGCCGGGTAGCGTGGTGCAAGTATCAAACAAGTCCAATTTCAAAGTAGTCGTTGAAGGTCACATCAATATCGAAAAAAAAGAAAAATTCCACAAACCATACACAAAAGAACCGTAAACGATTATGAAAGTTTAAAAATTTGACATTGACACATCAAGCGTTATGTTAGCTTCAAAATTCGTAGAAAATAAATAAATTACCTTATTTCCTTAACACTAAACTGTTGAATTTATATGAAAATTCACGATGTCATTAAATAAATTGTATTCATTATATTATTTCATTAATTATAAATCCGGAATATATATATAATCCTAAGATGATACAATATTATCTCGTGAAAAACTAAACGTTACTTAGTTCTTGAATAAATTCAAAAAAGTGCCATCTATACAATTTATGGCAAACTATCACGTCAAAAGTAATCTATTGAAAAACCTTCGATCTTTTCAACAACCTTTTGTTTTCACCAATTTTCAAAATTGTAAATAAATTTTAATTGATCGCTCCTAAAATGTTGTTTAAATCGTTTTACTTTTCGTTTTTATATTTTGTACTTCTTATTTAATACGAAATATCTAAAATTTTGGAGATTAAATACTTAATATTTTTCATTTTGTCCAAGTGTCGCCATCTACAATTTTAAATAAGAACTGCAGTTAATTTGTATGGATTGATACCCCATGCTAATAATTATTATTGACAGTGAATCAGTTTTTAAAACGTGATACCCTGATAACATTAGTTCCTATTAATGCCTTATAATAATATAGATACGTTGTTTGCACTGTACACTATAATCTACCAAACTTTGAGTAGATTTTATTGTGTGACCAAGACATTGAGTATATAACCAGAAATAGAGACGAAATGTCATTTAATTTGTTTGGAAAATATTCTGCCATAACATTACGGTGACAACTGCGCTTTGATTGGCCAGCCCGAATTCGAAACATTGACGTCAATTTTTGCAAATCGACCAGTTCGAGCTTTGGATCATGGATAAAAATTGAAAAATTACATAATTTCATATTTAATTGATGAAATGTGATTCCGTTTGTTTTGCAATTAGATGTTTCGCTTTTTTTTCCCACACCACTGAATGGAACAGCCTCCCATAGTTAGAGATATTATTTTTAATACAATAAACACAGAATATTTTTGGAATATACGGAGACGTACACACAGGCTAGTTGTTGGCGCTGTACTATTTTAGCTTTCTAATTTGTGATTTCAGCATAAACGTGCGTTGATATTTAAAAGTGATATAAGGCCCATTTACCTAATGAAGTGCCAGGGATGGACGGCCATTATTTCGTCTTTATTTTTGGTTATATACTCGACGGTCCAAGTGGTGGGACCAACACGTCGTGGTGGCACGACGTGGTTTGGTTTTGAAAAGTAAGAGTGCTGGTGAAATTACAGGCACATGGGACTTGTCAACTTGTGTCTCAGGGTGACGGGCCTAGTGGCAGTGTCTCTCAGACTAAAAGCTCTGAGTGACACTGAAAATGTTATGGTAATGCGTGTCGTTTATCACCAGGCGCACGACTTGTTCGTCCCGTCACTTGATGTCATAAAGAAAACCTATTTAAATTCTAACTACGCGAGCAGACCGTGGAAAGAGCTAGCCTAAATACAGATATTCCATCACTAGCTTAGCATGGTTTTGTTATTAAACATTCTATGTCGAATTTGGCTAGAGTATAGAAAGGCGTACGGAGCCGTTTCTCTATAACAGGAAGAAGGGTTTTATTTGCAGTACAATAATACTATTATATTATTTTGCAATAAAAAACTGTAAATTGTAGCGTATAGTTTGTTGATGTTTCAACGTTTTGTAATTGTTACAATAACGCATACTCACATTTTATTTTATGTAGTTGTTAATAAAGTACTGCATGCAATTTTTTTGCCGTTCAAATGGTGTTGTTTTGTTTTTTCGGATATTTTAGAAGGTAGAATCATTCTGTTGGATTTTACAGTTATTCACTTGTAACCAGAAAATTATTAACAATAGGTACTGACGGTTTTAACTTCAGAAGCTAAAAAAGTATAGAATGTATATATTTATTTAGTTTTTATTTGTGCTGTTATGTGGTGTTATTGTGTAGTTTAGAAATTTGTTTTAGAGGGTGCTATGTTGCACGTTGTGGGTGTTTATTATTTTGCTTCGTAAGTATTTTTTTAAATTAATTTATTTCGGATTTGTTGCGGGTTAGTTGTTGTACCTACCTACTAATCACTTTATTACATTTAATAATATCAATAATATATCAAATTATTACAACAATAAAATAAATAATTTTTTCCTAGGTCCATCGTGGTAACTTAGACGACGTAGTACAGGCAATTCTCTCAATGCCTACAATCAAAAAGACTGATAATAAAAAACCAACTACGCCAGCGACTGAAGAATGTATGAAACCCATAGTTAGGCCTACACCACCGCCGGCTGAGCCACAAGATGAAGACCGCATAGACTTTGTCAATGTAAAAGACCTTATCAAAGGCATGGAGAAACAAAAGAATAAAGAATTCGCCAAATCAACCGATTTCCCGAAGGAAGCAAATGGTTTCCATAAGAAAATCGACAACGGTCACGAAAACGGTCTCGACAGAAAGTCCGATGATGAAAAAACCGATATCAGCGAGAAGCCTGAAAAGATTATTGAACGAATTGAAAAGATTCAAACGCCCACTGAAAAACCGGAAAAGATTTTTGAGCAGACCGTTGGTGAAAAGACCGAAAATGTTGATGATTTGATCGATACGGTTGTTGAAAAGGTCGAAAACGTCGAAATAAGTATTGAAAAGTTAGAAAAGACTGTGGAAAAATCGGAAAGTATCGATTCTACCGAGTCTTCTCTATCAAGGAGCAATAGTTACGTGAATGGAGTACCTGTTCAAGTACCAAAGCCATTACCTAGGTCATCTATTTCTGAAGCTGGCTCCATGGAGGAACAATTGACGGAAGCACCCAAACCGAAACCAAGAACAACCACAGCTGGATCGGGTTATAAGGTATTTTGTGGTTTCGAGTTTGTGTGTAGATAGATAGATAGATAAAACGGCTATTTGGTTCTACAGACACACATACATAACAGAAAAATATGTAATTTAAATATATCAAGAATGATTGAACAATTAATACAAAGGTCGAACACTTGCAAAAAAATCCGTCGATCTGGCTGGATTCGACCAACGTCTTCTAGTTCTAATATAAGTAATGAAAAAAAAAACTAGCACTGCCGAACACCCAGTTATATATGTGTGCTGTAGCAGTGCAAAAAGGCCATAGCTCAGCGTCGGTGTTTACTCAGGAGCAAACCGCTGATTTTCAGCTATAACCTAGAGGATGCCGCGGACACGATAACCAGCCAGCTGACGCCATTTTCAAGTGTGTGTGTTTTTTATTTTTATTTTTTGCGACATATCGGGTTCTTTGATACAAGTTTTGATGAAAGGAATTATTATTTTATTATTGTTCGGAGAATTTTTATTTTGCGTAACTGATTTATTTTGTTTTTGTTCAATCCTGTTGGATTTGCTTTTCCCAGATAATCTAGCAAATTATTGAACTCGATAAACTTTTTTTAAGAAAGTAAAGATAGAATTGGCGAAAATAAATTCAATACTTTGCGAGGCGCGAATGTACAGTCAATATATTTTTTAGAATAAAGATAAAGAAAGATCGGTTCTTGGTGTCAAGAAAAGATTTAGTATTTATTGTGGGTACGTCTTATTTTGTTTTCGGTTTGATGGCAGTTTGCAAGTGTTAACCTCACAAGGCGCGGGCGCGGAAATGAGTGCGCGGTGCGATGGTAAAATCAAAAGTTAATACAGACACCATCACGTAAATACAGTTTTAGTAGCAGCAGAGCCCCTTGTGAAAGAGGTCGTCCAGGGTAGTACTGCCACCTTACCCATTTCAGCCGCCAAGCAGTAATGTCAGCATTACTGTGTTCCGGTTTTGAAGGGTATGGGTGCTGGTGAAATTACATGCTCTTAGGATTTGTCAACTTATGTATCAGGGTGACGGGCGCAGTGGCAGTGCCCCTCAGAGCTTTGCAATTTAAAGCTCTAAGTGGCACTACAACTGTTATGGATGGGTGTAGCTTACCATCAGGCGCACGACTTGTGCGTCTCGTCACTTAATTTTATATAAAAAAAACATTGATAATCGACGTAATTAATGGGCATGTAACGCACATGCCCATTAATTACGTTACATTAAGTTTACACACATTAAGTTTAGCCTAATTAACTAAAAAAAGGCGTTATGGAGGTCTCGGATAACGACTTTGCGCATTAATTGTATGCAGTCGAAATCGACTTCATGCAGCCGAGATCGACTGAATGCAGTTAAGGTATGAAGTTGTTATCAACTTCATGCAGTCGTGGTCTCCGCTGCAGGAAGTTGATTACGACTTCACTCATTGACTGTAAACGTACAGTCAATCTGATCTAATGGTCTCAGAAGCGTGGGTTTGAACCCGGGCTTGCACCTCTGAGACCTTCGGAATTTATGTGCGAAATTCTAATTGAAGTTTACCATGAGCATTTCGGCAAAGGAAAACATCGCGAGAAAGTGCATACATCTGCAAATCAATTTAATGATGTGTGTGAAGTTTCCAAATCGAGTTGAGCACACGTGGGAACTACAGTCCAAATCCTTCTATTGTGAGAGAACGTGTATGCACAGAAGTGGGCCTATTATACAGGGCGTCTCACGGTTATGCCACACGGAAGGAAAGTGCTTGCCTTAAATACCGTAGATAGAAAATTTTATTGAAAGAAGACTCCATTTTGATTTTAAAAACAATTCAAACTGTATTCAAAGATTTTTAAATAGTCGCCTGTATGAACCAGGAATCGAACCAGCTAAATGTGAAAAAAAAAAAAACCTGTAATTTTACTACACAGATCGGAAGCCTCAATAATAAGGATTGTTTTCTTCTAAATAACATAGCATCTTAAATAAAAGAAAGACCATGGAATTTGAAATTTCACCCTTTTCTCTGACTTTGCCGCGCTCATAACAACTGACAAAAATATTATTAATGAGTACAAACTTACAACTAGGAAGCGAAATTATCAAAAGAGTGAGAGTTTGTGTACTGCAGAATGGGACACGTTTTGAGAATTTGATAACTTAAGATTGCAAGTTGCTAAATGTATCTAAATATTTTAATTAAATCTTAAATTTCATGGTCTTCCTTTTATTTAAGATGTTGTGTTATGTAGAAGAAAACAATCCTTATGATTTAGGCTTGCGATTAGTATAGTAAAATTGCAGGTGTTTTTTTTCACATTTGGCGGGTTTCATGCCCGGTTGAGACAGGCTTCTTTCGCACTTCGCACCCGCATCTTTCAACTGCAACTGTGACTGGGGCCTTATAGTTTCAGTAGTATGTACGGCTTTTGCTACTCTATGGTGATACTTTAAACGCTCTAATGCATTGACTTACAAATAAATGGACGACGGGTCTAATACAAAAATCACGAAAAAAATGTCCCAAGTCAACCTATTTAAACGTAGTGACATGTAAAGGAATATGAAAAAGCTAAAACGTTAGATTTAAATTGTAATGTCATCGCAGTACTGTCTAATTTTGCTTGCTTCGCTGTCAGTCGAACAAACGAAGACTAGAGCGTGAACGACGCTCTGTATACGATTTTAACGCCCTATAAGTTCGGACACTTTTTAGCGCGGACCCGACGTCCATATAATTGTAAGTCAATGCTCTAATGTAATATTTTTTTAATGTAACATTTATGGTCATTTAATTACCTTGTTTGGCACTGTGACTATCATGGACAGGCGTGTAGCTTACTATCAGGCGCACGACTTGTTCGTCCCGTCACTTAATGTTATAAAAAAAACCTTTTACTTAGAATTTATTTTTAATTAATTTTATTTATTTTCTTTTTATCATTCTATTTTATTTTAATTTTAATTTAGCTTTATCTTTTTTTAATGTCTTACTGTGTAATATTATGTTGTGGCGTTGTGCAATAAATGGTTTTTATTTTATTCTATTCTATTTTGTACCTCGCAGCCGCGTCTCGGACCGAAGCCATTCTCCGCTTCGCAGGGCAACGAAGAGTTCTCATTCGACAAAGTTTTCTCCGTGCCCGTTGTGCCCGGAATGACCAAGTCGGATTCTGGTTAGTTTTATATTACTACATTTTTTAAACAACAAATTTAATTATACCCAGTTTAGCAGCAGAAGGTGCTGCTAATTTTATTCTTTTGAACAAAGATTTGGAAACTCGGGAAGGTCGGTATAATGCACTAACAAGGAAAGTAAAAATATTTACCTGTTACTTTTCTTATGACAAATAACGAAGTTTTGAGATCCATAATGGCATCCACTCATTCGCAAAAACCCGGTAAATGTAGATTGCACTATGATAAATTTGTTACTAAGTGCTGTCAGTGATGCTACGTTTTAGCGACTGTCCATACATTTCCGCCTTGACGCCTTAGGGCCAAAGCACAATTATCGAATTGCCTCCGTGGCCGAACGGTTACCATGCCGGACGGCCACGCAGATGTCACAGGTTCGTATCCCGGGCCGGGAGAAACATTTGTATGGCGTACATTTATTTCTCTTGTGAGTTTGGGTGTAATTTGTGGTTGTCTATGTTTGTGTCCATTGCACCCGCGACACAGGGTTTCCCTAGTGCGGGGCTATGTTGAGTGTGTGCGTTGTTATTATTATTGTCAAAGGCGATAGAAAGTGTATGAATTTCAAATTGATTTACAAAATAAATATATTTTTTTAAATAATTGATTGTTATTCACATCCTGTTGCACTAATGCTGCGGGTGCGTTGTCGTTCTAATCGTGCTGCGTACGGGCAACCGACCATCGCAGTTAATGAACATTGACCTTTACTCGATACGGCATCTTTATTATATTTCGTAGCTCTAAGCCAATTCTATTGGTCAGAAAACATAACAAATATGTTCCATAGTTATAGAGTCACATGGAGACGACAATGTTGTAAGCGTTTTATAGTTTTATATTAATGCAAGTAATTTTTTTACAGCGACGTCTCCCCTCTCGGGTCCCACGGCAGGCACTCCGATATCTTCATCGACGCCCGTGACGAAGCAATCTAGCGAGGAGAAGGACAAATCGCTCTCACCCACAAGTGACGTTGAAATACCACATCATAAAGGTAAAAAAGCAGCTTCTGGTTATCAATTTGATGGTATGAAACGGTGTTGTAAATACTGTATTTTTATATTGTTTTCAATATCATCTATTGTGAGTCGTGTCAGCTTAAGAAGTCACCACTCTTCATATGGAATCACGTTAAGCCGTTCAGAAAAAACCTTTAAATATATCCATTTAATAAAAGTGAAAAATTGGAAAAGCGTGAAAGCGAAACGCGCAACATGTTTTTTGCTTTAGTTTTTCTGACCAGTTGAAGCTACGCAATGATAAGTGGGATGATTCTCCTATAGTCTGTGTTTTTTGAAGATGGCATTTGCAGGGTTGTCAGTTTTCGTAAAATTGTAGGTAGTCATGTAGTTGTTGTCGACAGTTTTATCGATAAATTGTGAAAGTAGGTAAAATTTTGACAAAAATGTCTGAATTGTGAAAGTTCTAATGATTGTTAATTGCATTATAGTATTCTTTATTCCTATTTTAACAGTTGGTCTATTAGAATCGAAATCAATTTTTAGTCCTACACATTTTAATAACGACAGCTAGATTTATGTATTATAAATTAAAACAAAAAATCTTAAAATATGTCTCCTTTTTGAATTTTTATAGACATACTTCTAAATTTGTTGTATTTATGTAATGAATTTTCAAAAATTAACAATTGAAATGAACATGTGCTCAGCAGTTGGACGCGATGATGATTAAATTTAACAAGTTCGCCTATTTATTTCATCAACTTTTGCTCAATGAACAGACTTTTTACTCCATCTTCAAAAAAGACGAAAGAAGTATAATCGTATTGGATTCTTCGTTTGAATCGAACTCAAGACCTTCTGCATAGGAAGCAAGCGTCCACTTATTTTGGTTGTCAGTGCTTTTTCAAATATTTTTTTTACTTATACATTTTGAGGATTTGCGAAGACAGTTTCAGGACCGTTGATATTTTTTTTCTGAACGACAGTTAATTTATTTGTTCTTTGTTGAAGCACTATTTGAAAGTAAACCCAATAACCAGGGCACACCCATATATTCACCATAGACGCACACACATGACACACACAGAATTTTGTGTACTACATTAGTGTGTATTGATATTTATGAAGTTTTCTCTATTGAGTTATTAGGTCAGTTCTATGTAACGTTAAGAATGAACTTAAATTTTGTAACTGGCTACATTAAATTAGCAGTAATGTTTGCAAATATATAAATAAACTAGGGCTTTGCGAGGGCTTTCTTTGGGACTTGTGACGAAGTTGGACCTAATATTTCAGAGGAGAATCCTCTTTAGTTGAGTTTGAGTGGGAGGGAGCTGGGAAGATTAAAAAAAGCAATTGTTTATGGCGGTCATCTTAAATTTGCCATATTCGAAAATTTTTGATCCCAGTAGAACCTGAACAGTATCCTTAACAATTTTTATTTGAAAGCTATACACCCATCTCTAACGCTTTGACGGGGTAGCTGGTGTCCTACCCGACAGAAGTGTCTTAAAGGTGTTGAATTTTTCTAGTATTCAATATTCCTAGTCAAACACAATCTTTGTACATTTATTTTACCTACATCGATTCATTCTAGTATATAGAAAAATATGTAAATCAGGAATGTTATTCCAAATTTGCAGAGGAATACACGAACGGCAAATCAGATACAAGCCTAGAAGAGGAAGTGAATTCTTCCGACTCTGGCTACATTCCAAAGACGCCCAGCACAGCGGACAGGAGGAAACTCTTCGAGAATACTGAGTAAGTATGACTCTTCCCAATCGTATCATTTGATCGTTATTTCAGTCTGATAGTGCCTTTCTGGTATTTATGGAATTTGTATTTACAGACCTACCGCTTAACTGAGTCGGTGTCTATTTATTTTAATTGGGTAGGCACTTTTTTCAATCAACTTGCTATTGAATATCTTCAGAAAGATCTTGTTGAAATTATACCGTGTGCAGCGCGACATAACTGTAACATAAACTGTCACTCCTCCCGCACCCCGCAGCTGCCTCAGAAACCGACACGGTTGGGCGGTGGAGCTGTAGTTATTAATTTTTCAATTTAAAATTCGGAATTTCTCTTCATTTTAAATGAGTTATAGCTTTTTTATAATATGATTTTTAAACTGAATTTTCATTATATTATGATTTTACATTTTTAAAATTACTTTTTGTTCTTGATTCATTGTGGTTGTATTTCTGAAATAATAACATAAAAGAATCATTCGTGTAGTGGGACTCGGTGTCAACTCGAACTGGTCTTTGCCTTTGATTCCAGTGTGTTGTGAGACAACTTTTTTTCCAGTATATTGTGAGACAAGCTAAAATTTAATAAAAGTAATTAGATATGTAATTTTTCAATTTTCGTCCATTATAGCAAAGTTCAAGTTAAACTGGTCGGTTTGAAGTGAAATAATTTACGACACACCTGTTAATTGTTTCGAATTCGGGCAGTTGTCACCGTAATTAATTTGACAGAATAATTTTCAAGGGTTGTTCTTCGAAATAAATTATTTTTGTTAAGTTTTCATATATTTTTTAGAACCTTTATGTAAGCTATTTTTATCAAGCTAAATGCAATGTAAGCATACTCTAAAAGATTATTTTATGAAAGGCACGTATTAATTTTCATTATTCTTCGTAATATTTGTAAATTTCTAATTATTCACGTTGATACTAATGACACCACGCACTGAGAATGACTTTAGCTTGTATAATAATGACGCCGTGTTGCAGACAATGATCTAAAATCTTTCATTTTTGGGTATTTAACAATAAAAAAACATTGTTTGAAAACAAATTAAATGACATTTCGGCTCTATTTCTGGTTATACTTGATGGGGTTTTCACACATTTTTCAAGGGTTGTCAATATTTTCATGGCGTTATCCTTCAACGTAGCTTAGGAATTAAAGTCATACGTACATGGGTTTCCAACCGTTCACCGCGACTACCAAAGCATCCTAATTAATTCGTTATGTTTTTTGTTAGTGGGAACCAGTCATTCGCAGACCGCCGACGCGCGTACGAAATGCGTTCAGTCAGTGTCGCTGTTGAATCGGACACTCCGCCCTCACCAGCTCCTCTTCGGTGAGTTAATGCTTACACATAAATTCTGTTTTCTCAAAAATGCTCGGGAATGTTTTCATTTATTTCAAAAAACGAATACAAGAACTTTGTCATTTATGGACCGTGCGATTTCTGCCCGGCCAAGGCTTACAAAGTATGAAAATCTATTAGTGGCCGCTGCTCTAAACTTTTAAATCTATCTGCTAACAATGAAAGTACGTAAACAGGCGAAAGGAAAGCTCATACAGCCAACTGTCCTGTATACCTACCTGTACTGCTATCTTAAAAACAAACGGCGAAAATTATCTGAAGTGCTAATGAGATTCATTTGTGTTTTTCGTCTTTTTTTATATTTTCATCGAGAAAACTGAGTTCTAATAAGAAGAGCGGTAATGAAAATACAGCAACGCAATACTCCGGCTAATTTGAAACAAGAGGCAATATTAGCCAAATGTCAAATATTACTTTACTTATTATTTTATTTACGTTTTCCATTATACATCTTCTCTTTAGTCGTGTTATTTCCTCGCATTGTTTGAGAAAAACACTATACACGCCTCGGCGGGAACGAAGAATGCTTGGACTTGTCCTAATGCAAGGTCTCGCTAGCGCTCGGCCCGTACTTCCCGGTCTCTGCCATATCATTATTACTTTGTTATACACAGGTTATAAAGGTGTTACAACCGTTAGTCAGAATACCAAAAAGCGTGAATATAACACTATCGATTCGTCGTTTCGATCGGTCTGAAATTATGAAACGTGATGACAAATCATCCTGTGTACGGGGGTCTTAAGAAAAACTAATGGCAAGTAGAAAAAAACCTTAAATTTCTTGTTATAGCCGTCGAGATTCGTTGAAGTCACGCAAGAGTCCGGATCGTGAAGACAAGCGTGCGTCCGTACCCAACGTTACTACGAAAAGAACTTCTACTGTTTTCGGTAAGAATTATCTTTTTTTTTTAAATAATCTTACTATTTTGTAATAACTATTAATACAAAGTGTTGGCGACCAGCTGTGACGCAGCCTCCTTCGTTTTTGTACTTCTTTTTTTTAATTTACGTTCTATTTATAACATACTTTTCAACTGTTTATGTTTATGTTTAGCAAAATTTTGGCAGTTGCTTCCGCTGCGCTGCATTGTTTGGTTTCATTTTCAATTTTTCAAATTAAACGTGTTTTAATCTGCATATAAGGTGTTTCCATCATAGTGCATACATTTATACAGTGCACTCGCCAGTACAAAGATTAACAATTACTATGAAAAAATTCCTTCGATCTGGCTGGATTCGAACCAACGTCTACCAACAAACCGTGCCAGACGCTATGCCAACTATGCCACGGAACGAACTAGCGGAAGTTACAAATTTATTTATGTGCTTGTTGCTGATCTTTGTTTTTGGTTTTTTAACTAATTTTTTGCCGTAGCGCCATCTGTGAGAAATGAAAGCTTTTCATCACTCAGGCAGGTACCTTTACAGCTACCAGATGCCGCTTTAATAATTGTAATTTTTAAGTTTATTGAATGTTACGATGTTTGACCACCATGTTATTTAATTATTTTTGTGAAATGATTCTACTATACTCTAGCCAAGTTCGATGTAGAATAAATGTTAACAAACAAAAACATATGATTTTTAGGGTTTTCATCTCAGACTCTTTCACAGTTACCACAATTTAAAAATTTTCGCGCGCCGCTGCTGTAAATGGGCTCAGTCTTCCCTTTCACAGTGCCGAAGCGGCTACGAGCGTTGATGCGATAGATCCACACGTCGAAATCGCAAACAGTCGCTATACCAAGCACTGTGAAAGGTCCCGGTGGGCCCAGTCAATAGATCTACCCTCGCGGCCACGTACATTTGATTTACACGCACCCCATTAGCTCTGCATAAATGGCGCGCGTTACCGCTTAGTGTGTCGCCTCGTGGCGTGCTTCATACATTTTAATAGATTTGTTCTCTCGCCGCTCCGCACTAAGTGGCCGCTGATAGCGGCTTGGTCGTGCGTGACCAACTAAATAGAACAAAAGTTGTTTCTGATATTAGTAATATGGTCTTGCAAGGTTGTTAGTATTTTATAAATAAGACTGTATTGTTATTATATTGTTTTATAAATTTTTTGTTTTATAAAATGTTTATTGTTTTCCTCAGGTAAAGTTTCCAAGTTCCGCCATCTGAAAGGTACTCCCGGACACAAGTCCGTACAAGTAGAAAACATCAAGAACATCAGTCGTCAGATTTCTGGCGAATGCAACGGGTTTTACGGTACGTCATATGAATTAGTCTTTTATATATTTAATTGTATTTACAATGTGTTTTATCAAAATGGTCATTAATTTCAGTGTTTCCTTTTTATTTCTGTATTAACTGGATTAATATTATAAAAAGGTGTTAAGCAAGGTGACCCGCTATCACCAAAACTCTTTACCAGTACCCTCGAAGAAATCTTTAGGAAGCTATCAACTCGGTGGGAAGGAAGAGGCATTAATCTCGGCGAGAAAAGGCTAACTAATCTCCGTTTCGCGGATGATATTGTCCTCTTTTCTTCATCTGCCCAAGAGCTACAAAGCATGCTCGAAGATCTGAGCTTTGCAAGCCTGGAGATCGGACTAAAAATGAACTTGACCAAGACCAAAGTCACGACTAACACAACCAAGCGCAAAAACTGTGTTAATGGGGAGGATATCGACGCCGGAAAGCGATCTTGTCGCATCTCGAAAAATAGGACTTTACACCAGGGCCGAAAAACTAATTAAAAAATTATTTCTCTTTAATTTGAACTAATAGAAAGTCAATTTCAAAGTATGATTATATACATCGTACTTTAAAATTGTCTTTCTACTATTGACTACACGTACGGACGGTCATATTTGTCAGCGTCTGCATGTGAAGTGCCGCCATGACAGACAAGTGCCCTTCGCAGCCAACGGCGTGCGTTGCGCCGTGCCGGTGAGCGGCGGCGGCGGGCGCGTGGCCGTGATCGAGCTGCCGCTGGGCGCGACGCCGGGCGCCCGCGCACCCCCCTCGCACCCCGCGGCCCTGCACGCGCCCGCGCTGCTGCACCCCGCGCCGCTGCAGGACTGGGCCTTCGACCCCTTCCGCGCCGAGCGCCTGCTCGTCGCCTGCGACGACGGCCAGGTGCGCGAGTGGATCATCCCCGACGGCGGTGAGTGTTCTATATTTTGCACACCAAACACTAGCCCACCGAATGCGTCAAATTTCAAGCCACACCTACGGGGTGCAGGAGGGTCGGCTGCTTCGTAATAAAATAGGTTTCATTCTAATCTACTTATTCATCGATGACAATTATAGTAACAATAACGCACACACTCAACATAGCCCCGCACTAGGGAAACCATGTGTCGCGAGTGTCATGGACACACACATAGGCAACCACAATTACACCCAAACAGTGGCAACCCGGCATGATAACCGTTCGGCTACAGAGGCAGTTGTTAAGTGATTGTTTACACGCATAAATTAAAATTCACTGTGTTATCGAGTTCTCAGGTTTTTCGCCTAATCTGTTACTTCGTCGCTTAATGCGTGTAAACCAGCCGTTAGAGTGAAAACCTCTCGTACGCATTTTTCATAATGCACCCCTCATGAAAGAATCGACAATAGATAGAGTTACAAGAATTGGAGAGCATGTGGGTTATATGTTTCAGTATCTAATGGAGCAATTGTTTATACTGCATTTTGTATATAGTTACTTTGTTGAAGCAAAATTTATAAACATCATTCTTACATATATTATTTAAATAATTGAGATATATTATTGAAATAATAGAGCTACTGAAACATGACACTAACTAAAATTAACGCTAGACATTATTGTTTTTGCAATACTTTTCAAAGCATTATTATTTTAGTCCTGATAAATAGAAATGACAGTAAACGATGGTTTGTCGCGAAACCTGTAATAAAACGTCATAAAAACTAGATTTTTTATCTTATGTGTATGGACGTTACGTTAAATATGTTTTGAATTGTTTTTGGCGAAATTAAGCTGTTCTGCCAACGTTTATGGACAAAATGACCTTAGGCTAACCACGCTATTACGAATTGCAGGACTTCAGGAATCAACAAACGAACCGGCCCGTACGTTTTCCGCGCACCCAGACAAAATCTACATCGTAAGATTCCACCCGACCGCCAGTGACGTGCTCACAACTGCCGCTCACGACCTGACCGTGAAAATTTGGGACCTGAGTGTGGACCCGCCCACGGCCGCCATTACTCTGACCGGACACACTGAACAGATATTCGCTTTGGATTGGTCGCCGTGCGGGGAGTACCTTGCTACCGTTTGCAAAGACGGACTTGTACGGGTAAGTGCTGTATATAAGTAAGTATATTAAATCTGTTAATAGTAACATATTTTACGACAGCTTGGGAATTATTATATTCTGACTTTTTTGAAAAAAGAGTAACGTGATATTTGAAAGGTTGCCAGTTTTTTATATAATTTTAAATAGTCATGTAGTTGTTTCCGAAAGTTATATCGATAGATTGTGAAAGAAGTTAATTTTGCCTAAAATGTTTAAAATTTTACTAAAGTTACATTTCTTACATAAGTGAAAAATAATATTGCCTAATATTGCTTATTTATTTATAATTCTGTTGCTCAAATTATGATACTTATTTATTTATAATGCTTAACACGGAAATCGCTTTTGTATCTAAAAGATTCGACACTTAGTTTGCCGAAATTATACATAAAATTATACGAAAATAAGTGTTTCAAATGTTACTTGTAATGTTATTATAATGTATTCAACAGCCTCCATGGCTGAACGGTTACCATGCCGGACTGCCACGCAGAGATCCCGTGTAATTTGTGGTTGTCTATGTGTGTGTCCATGGCACCCGCGACACAGGGTTTCCCTAGTGCGGGGCTGTGCTGAGTGTGTGCGTTGTTATTATTATTATTATTATAATAATGTATAAATCATCGGTGTTTTTTTGAAAGGGCTAAAGCGCTATTCTTTTTATTTTTTTCTGGAGAGCAGGTTTTGGTTTTTCACGATTGTCTTAAAATATTTACGTCCTGTTTTAAATTCAATTTTGAAACTTAAAGTTGACTAAAACCAAAATTTTAAAACAGGACGTATATATATTAAAACAGTCGATAAAACCTAAAACATGATTTTGGAAATGCTTTCTACAAAACACCGACGAAATTACCTTTTATCATAATATTATATAGAAAGTGAACAATTTTATAAAGTACTGACATCAATAAACAAACTTCGTACTTTTTAATAATTTTATACCGAAGCCATTAAGTTTAAATTTCCTTTTAACCGTTCAAAGTATCGAGATCTAGTTGTCATAATCCTGGTCATCATCAGACACTTAGGATTTACAAGGAGTTACAATGTTATTTCTGTATTTTTTATTCAAATATAACAGTCGTTAAACGTCGCGCCATTTTTGGGATTTAAAAGAATAAAAAATGTATTTTCAGAAGCTGCTTCCTTATTTCTATGGCAACTGAAATAAACTAGGTATAAAAAGTATCGAATATCCCATTGCCAGTAATCGCCAGTACATATATTAAATGTGAGTGTGAATAAGAGTGAGAATGCGTGTGGTAGATCTACCAGCCGCGGGCGTCGGCGGCGCCGCTGCGCAGCGGACCCGGGCCGGCGGGCAGTCGCGGCGCACGCGTCGTCTGGGCGTTGCACGCCACGCACCTCGTCGTCACCGGGTTCGACAAGTCAGTATGCGCCTGTGCTTTGTTTCTTCGCGTCTGCGAGGATTTCTGTTAATACATGACTTTTTATACTTGATTATTTAGTTTAGTTAGTTTTCCCATGCGATATCTACCCAACTATAACATCGTAGCGTGTTAGGTTGGTTCGATTTTTCTGTATTTCTTGTAATGATTAGATAACTCTTCTTACTTTTTGCGTTAAGTGTCGAGCGAAAACCGTTTGAATTGAAGCAAATTTTTTTCGAGCAGGGTGTCGGAGCGGCAGATTCTGCTGTACAAGGCGAGCGACCTGTCGGCGCCGGTGTGCACCGTGGGCCTGGACGTGTCCCCCGCCATCCTGCAGACGCACCTGGACCACGACTCGGGAACGCTCTTCCTAACGGGGCGGGTGAGACATTCATAATAGTGCTGCTTTGAAAACACTGCAATCTTGTAACATTGCCATCATAAAAACAACTTAATTTTTACCATTTTTGGGAATTCACTCAATAAATAGCTTTTTGATTTACGGAAAAATCGAACAATATTTATAATACTAATAACTAGATTTCTATGGTGTGTCGCTTCTAGCGGTTCTATATGCGGCGATAGCTGTGCTAAATTTGTGGTGCTACGAGGTATACGGCGCATATCGTTGGCCGACTCTTGAACTTGAATTCTTGACCACGATTAGCTGTACCATCTTTCATTTCAAACTTAAATACCTAGACCAGAACCTATAAAATAAAGTCATTTCCTAAACTGGAACTATCGGCAATCGAACCTGGAACCACATCTTGCTCCCACATTTAATGTCCAAACTTAGAAGCTGTTTATTAATACGGGTCTTCCAGCTACAGTTACTTGTTTTGATAGAACAGTGTTAAGAGATTTCAACGTTACAAACCATTGTAATTTAACTAAAATAAGTTTTAGTTAAGTTACAATAAAGATAACTTTTTAAATGTTGTGAAACCTTGGATACAATAATGACATATAAAAAGAAATACAGTTAAAAGCGCATCAAATTTGATACATTATAAACGTGAAATTTAGTCGAATATCGTCTGTGCAGCAAAACCAGAAAGTGATACTGCTCAGAATTCTACAATGAATCTTTCTGACTTTTCTTATTTCAATGCATATTTTTATAAATGGTATTTAGTTTTACGCAATGTTTATGTTGTATAAAGGAGTAAAACAATTTTTTTGTCCAGTTATGGGACTCTACAGGTCGTTAAAACAATTCCTTTACCTTTTCAAACAAACTGACGTTTCGGTCCCTTTACAGGTCTCACGGTTGACATCAATCAACCGTGACCATGGGACCTGTAAAGGGCTCGAAACGTCGGTTTGTTTGAAAAAACAAATATACGCGATTTAAATCCGAAAAATAGTTTCATTTCCTATGTGTAACAATCGCGAAAACCTAAGAACTCGATAATTTCTTTACTTCTAGCTTTTTCTTGCAACACATAAAAATGGACCGTAATTTGCTTGCAATTAGGGTGACTCGACGATCTACTGCTACGAGGTGACGTGCGAGCCGCCGTTCCTGTGCGCGCTGTCACACCACCGCTGCGCTTCGCTACATCAGGGCATCGCCTTCCTGCACAAAAATCTCGTTGCCGTTGAGAAGGTTACCTAGCATTGTTTGAATAAAGTACCTATATCAGAGCTCCGTCACTCGTGTGTGTGTGTAGTGCCTACCGCTGAGTGTATCGCCGACAGTGCAAGCGCTCAGAAAGTCTTTTATTTACATTACAATCCTAGTACAAGTCCAGCATTCGGTTCCGCACGACTGCACACGGCGGGCAACGTTATTTTCACTTCTCTGAGCGTGTGCTTAGGTTCCTTTTTCCTCGTAGTGAGCGCCTGGTTTCATTAGTCAGATTTAGTAGGCTTAGATATTTTCGATTTCGTATGAGAGTGATGTATCTGACGTAGTAACTATTAAGTAATCTGTAACTACTATATAGGGTGCCCTATGGCTATGTTATATCGACTTTGAACTGGCAACCTGTACTATCTCAATATTGAAAATTTTACAAGATGAAGAAAAGAATTGTTTGTGTCATTTATATTCCATGTGGTAAGAAGTTAGTACAAGCTAAATAAGTCGATTCTGGCGCCAAATATAATATATATTCTTTATTGTACAAAGAAAAGAAACATGAAACACACGTTACAATGGACATATACAAAGGTGAAATATAAATGTATCTGAGATGTAATTTCTTGCAACGCTGCGGAGTATGAAATATTATAAAATGGTATTAAAAAGTGAAATCTTTACAAAATTGAGATAGTCTCGGTTGCCAGTTCACAGTCGATATGTTGTGTTATGTGTATCAGCGTCATAAAAATACGGGTGGTTTTTTACATTTAGTTGGTTCAGTTCCCAGATGAGGTAAGCAACTTTTAAAAGTCTGATTTCAGAATTACTTACTTTTAAAAATAAAATGAGGCTGTCAGCGCAATAATGGTGTAACCCACATTAATTTTTTTTCTACAATATTTAAATGATATTAAAGTACATAATGTGTAAAAAAATACATATTTATGAAGATTGATTCAAGTGCTATGTATTGTCAGGCTAATGAATTGAATAGAAAGGCAAATCGAATCTTCTAGATCAGAAAACAATAAACATTTTGTAATATTATCATTAAATTTGAACAAAACTAGATTCCCAACATATACTTAGTTGTACATAGTTTTTACCCTCGATTTCGGGCGTTAATAGGTTTTAACCAGGCCCTAACAAAGTGCCGGGTTAAAACCCGGGCGCTTGCTCATCCCTGTTCACGACTATTACGCTGAAGCAAAATATCCTGTTTACAATATTTAAAGTAATTTCCCTCCATGTCGCATAGCCGCGGGACACCCTATACACCTCTGCGGGAACGGGGACTGCCTGATTTATATAATTCCTTCTCGTCCATCTCGGCAATCCTTATTTTTCGGCCTCTGCGATCATGTCATAATATTTGTTTTGTTCGTATCTATAGGTGGAATTCGCTCGCGCACTCCGGCTCACCAACGGCAACATCGAACCACTATCGTTCACAGTACCCAGGATAAAGGTATGAAGTAATATATTATTATCTTTCTATTACAGATTTGACAGCTAGTAATAAACATCAGTGATAAAATGTCACGATTTCACGTCTCCGCGACTGTTGGAATGAACATTTTAAGGGTCTTATTTTAAAACCGTCGACGTTAAGAGGGAGCATGCCAAAAAAGTTTTGACTTTGGCTCCGCCCAAATTTTTAAAACAAATATATGCCTGAAGTTCGCGTGACATGCGACAGATGATGTTGAATTTTGCGCATTAAAAGTACCAAATTCGTTTTAGCGGAATAACTCTAAAACTAAAGGGATTAAAAAAAATCCGTAGTGATAGTTCTCGATCATGCATAAATATAATTAATTATCTAATTTTTGTCCTAATAACCTGTAGCATTTCGAGGATAAATCGATAAAATGTGAAAATTAGAGGTCATTTCGTAATTTTTATCTATCGAGGAAACTTTATTGTTTTATGTTTCTGATTAATGTCTATGCTTGAATATATCGTGTAGTTACTCATACAATATTTTATTTTTAACTTTAAAGTGGATATACCCCTCTAAAATCAAATCGAAGATTAAGAATTTGTCCTCTGCTCCCTCCACAAACTAATAAGAGATACTACGTATCAGACGAACCACTCCCCTTTACAGATAATGGCCAATAAGGAAAGAGCGATTTAGAACATGACAGTTCGTTTTTTTTTAAATTACGTTAGACATGAAAGCGAAGGCACAGTGTTAACAGCCAATTTGCATATTTTTCCGGCTCCTAGGCTTATTCGGTATTAATTAGATGAATAAATTTTGAAAAATGAAACACATTTTGTTATTTGACCTTGTTTATTTTCAATTTCTTTTAGTAAAAACAAAGATATTTATGGGCATTTGTACATACTTTAACAAATTAGGCTGCAACACTCTTTTTTTTAATTAATATTTTTTATATGTACCAAATGTTAAAACTAAAAATCTTTACGTGCAAGCAAATCGTAAGTTTACAGGTACACGGTAGGGTACTTATTTAGTTCGTAAAATTACACAGAAATTTAACACGAAGACTTTAGTAGATTCTATCCATAATTTGATTAGCTATAGACAGTTAGTCACAGGAATTTTTGTTTAAAACAATTGAAAACCATTAATTGAACAAAACAAACTAACCTACCCTTTTGAACATGCGCTCAGGTATTTTGGCGATGTTGTAAACGAGCCAAACGAATGCTAGGCAAAAGGCAAAATGATGGAGAAATATCTCTGTTTTTCATTCCAATTGACATACATAATGATGTAATCAATTCAATAAATCATAATTCAATCTAACATTTACTCTTGCAGTGTCAGTACCCTTACCTTACCTTACTTTATGATTTATTTTACATTACTTTATGCTATGTACTCCAGACTTTGGTATAATAATTGAAATAAATAATAAATATCTTGGGACAATTGACTAATGTCCACCAGTTACTAGTCGTAAACTAAGAAAAGCTAGGTATTATGGGCGCAGACAACAGATATTAATATAAATTACTTCCACGACTCACATCATAGCAGGATCCGATCCAGGGACCTATAGCTTCATAGTCCGGATTACTAACATCAAAAAAGTAAGTAATCCAGCCGTCTTCGCTAACAAACATAAAATATAAGATAGTGTTTGAGAATTGATAAAGCAATCATTTTTTCTTCGTTTGAAAATCTTCGTCCTTTAATTTTCTTTGCATATTGCTTGATTTGCATCCAAAATATTTTTTTTGCAACTGGACTCATTTTGGAAGTTAATTTATTCAAAACATCGCGTTCATTAAACATAACTGCCCTTTTTGCTCTTTTATTAAAATCTAACTGCTTCTTGGACAGTCGATACATTTTATAAATTTTTCTACATTTAGGTGTCAGGGTATTCATACTGTGAAACAAACGTTTTCTAATATTTATGTTTCGTTTGGGACTCGAGGGTCCAATTTCCCTGGTAAGTACACTTTCCGACTCTGAAATTAAAAAAATGAAAGTAAATAAACTGGTTAGTTTGAATAAAAAGCCGTAGTAGCCTAATGATTAGAGGAGGCTAAAAATCATTTAATCAAATGAATTAAAAATAATAACATACCTTGGACACGCTTTCCTCGTGGTCTGCTCTCCATCTGCATGAAGTGTTAGGTAAGACCGGACAAATCTGCACCAAACCTGTAATGCAAATGATCAATGACTCAACTCCATTTAATATCTTTTTCAGCACTGAGAACGTTCAATCTTCAGGCTAAAGATGTACCTAATCAATGGACAAGTAAAATCACGTGATTTTATGAATAAGGATTCAGTTTCAATTTTCAACGTTTTTGTATAGAAATTCAAATAAAGAATTATGATTGTTATTCAGAAGTGAGCTTCACACATTAAAACCGACAATTTTATTTATCAGGTTATTAAGGAGAGAAATCTTTTCAATATTATATACTTCACATACATAATTAAATAACAAAAATTAAATCATACAATAACTAATATTTTGTACTGTATAAAGAGTTTATTATAATATAACTCTGACCAAGGGAGTGCTATTGGGTTTGTTTATGAGCTTCCCCATGAGTATGATATAGTCACAATAGGGTGTACTTAAGCCTCATTAGAACAAGAAATAAATATTTTATACTGCAGATGGGTCGGATAATTGAAAATGCTCGATTTGTGTTGTTTCTTTGTATTTGTGTTATCCTATTGTTTGTCGCGAGTTTATACCTCAATATTGTAAAGAGCAATTATTAATTAAGATGTCAACTTTTCTCGATAGCTCTTGTTTATTTACATTCTTTTAATTACCTAAAAGTACAGAGTTTTAGATTAAGAAAAGATAACATGCTACATGTTTATACAAGTTATGACTAATAATCAAATAAAATTTAAAACAGATTTTAGTACATTTTGCAAAGTACAAGTTTATTGAGTTTCGTACCAACGACTAACGTACTGTTAATTAACGGTATTAATTAAGTTAATTCATTAATTAAGATTTAATAACGGCATTACCGAGCAGCGTATTAGTATAATAAAGTTAATAATAAAGGTAATATGTTATAGTAAAGTGTTTACTTACCAATGTTTTCGGAATGCAGGCAAGCCACTTGTTATTTCGTTTTCCGAAAATAAAGTTGGATAAGCACCATAACGTAAACGCAATGTGGCAGTAATGAACCTCTTTTCAAAATGTTTATTACAAACACCTATCCTACGTAGTCTCTGTAAATTATGGCTGCGAAGTTGAATACTACCAATGCATTGTAACCACTTTTGGAGTCCTATCTCAGATGTGGGAAACCGATGCAATTTAACGTCCTGTCGTTTACTCGCAGTTTTCTATGCAACACTTTTTGTACATGGTGATAATTACCACACGGCACACCAAATTACTGGTTTAGCTGAAAGGATAAGGACGGATAGAAATCAACGATACTTCACTCGATCAAGGATAAACTAGTAATGAAGTCATAGACAACTATGTACCATAATGAAATCATAATAAACCAGAGTTAAAATGTCGATGTCAAAGACAAAAACAAATGGCAGCGACGGCCATTTTGAATAATTAAAAAAAAGAAAGTCATGTTCTAATTCGCTCCTCCAATGGCATAATGCCCAAAAATCTTCTTTGAAGATTACCCGCCGTGGCTCCCTCTTAAGTGAACTGTATGTATATCTTGTAGAAGTGTCGTTATGATGTTTTCGCGAATTGTAGTATTCATTCAGGGTTAATATTTAACTATAATATTTTAATTGCAAAGGGTTTTAAATTAATTAGGCGATTTGGCGTTGTGTAAACATAGCAATAATATGAATATTGCATCGTGGTTTGATTGTAACGTAGTGCAATTTGTTGCAGAGCGAGCTCTTCCAGGATGACCTGTTCCCGCCCACTTTGGTAACATGGGAGGCGTGGCAGAGCGGTGCCGATTGGCTTGCTGGCAAGCACGTCGCGCCGCGCACATTTAGCTTGCAGCCGCCGGGCATGGAGCCACGTAAGTTTGCACTCTTATACAAATAAAGCTGTACCTACACATGTGCGCGACTAACGTCACGAGGTAATGGCGTCATCTCGGTTATTTTGACGTGTTTACACATTGTCGACTCCTTCGGCAAACACTTCACCAAGGAAGCACAGTCAACTCGCTGTTTACATCGACTGTCGCCTCTATGGCAAGCGGAGGTGGTGCAATTGACTTGCTGTTTATACCGAATCGAATGCTGCCTTCGCTGAATTCACGAACGGGCAATCATGTTACTATAAAAACAAGTCTACGCACAGAGACAAAGTAAGAAAACTGCAACCGTAGGTTCGAAAAAAAAAAACCAATTTCATTTAATAATAATAATAAATCATTTATTTGGACATCTATGGCCCACTTGTTAGTAATACAAAAAGATACAGAACATTTAAACTTAAAGCTATTGTTAGTAGGTACAATTTACGGGACAATACATTGACAAACACAAGAAACATGTATATGCAACTTACCGCTCGAGGCGCCGATAACCTCATGATCTCACCAGAACCTGGATAAAATGTTGAAGCATCGGCGCATCAAGCTTAGCCGCAAACATTTTCAGTATGCTGTTAGGAGTAGAACGCAGCCTCGAGAGTAGTGACGCCTTTTTGTTTCGCATCACAGCAAAAAAGTCATCTACTCCCGCTAGAGCAAAAATCGAGGGTGCGCTACAATGCCGTGGTAGTCCCATCAGCATTCTGAAACCTCTCATCTGATTTAAAATAAATACAATTACAAAATGAATTGCTACAAATAGGTGACAATCGTACGAGGTTGGAAACAAAAGTGATTCACGTAAACATTACGTTGTTCCGGTAAAACAGGTCAGGACCCAGCGCCTCGTGGTCATTTCCCTTCTGTAGACGTTTGGAGTCAAAACGTTCAACGTAGTGATCATGTAGGTAGGCATACTCAAGACCCCAGTACGCGCATTATGATGGGTGCGGCCCATGACATGTTGAAACTTGTTTGGTCGACTCGACAGTAAAAAAAACATGTCAAGAGGCTTATAGGAGACTCTGAATTAGTAGAGGCGAAGCTGGACAGTAAAGGTGCCTGCTTATCGGTATTCTGCAGGACATATCAAGGAGAGTGTGCGATGGAATTGCGTAATTTGATTCCGCCTTCCCGTTTCCATGATCGGGGGACTAAGCGTAGGCTGGGGTTCCACCCCTATGTTGTGGATATTTAACATAGTATGTTTGAACATTGTAACTTGGACCTTTTCGAGCAGTGAATAGGCATTATTTAGGTGTGCGTGCTTCATCGTCGAACTAATCGTCACTTTCCACCAGGTGAGATGGAGGTCAAAAGCGCACTTATTATTATAAAAAAACTCGACATTGAGGCGACCGAGTCTCCTGACAGTGATTACGCCTAGTCGATTCGGTCGACTTCAAGCATCAACAGTGGGTAGGTTGCCGCCTTCGACGCGTAACCAAAGGCAACGAGTCCAGTAAATGCGCCATTTGCCAGCACAATTATTCATGTAATAAATTCAAATAAGCCGACATTGCACATAAGGAATAAAATAGGAAACTACGCCCTAATTTGGAATTTTACTGTAGGCCGATGTTCGTATTAGCGCCCAAATTATTTAATAAATGACCAGATGCTGTTAAGAATTAAATTGTAGCCAATTAAAAACGAAATCGCATGATTTGTTAGTTACTCAGTGCTACTACAATATTTATGATTTTTAACTATTGTATGTTATATTTTTGAGTTCCTATTTTTTGGTTAAATTGTTGTTGTTTGTTATACTATTCTATTAATTTAACTTTAAATGCATGCTACATCAAAAGTGAAATAAGAATTGTTAAAATATTCGCATGCCAAGTCGTTATGAAATGTACGATCTAATATGATATACTATAAGACCAGCATTGTCAACTACATTTTTCAGCGAATAAATATCTTGTATTGTTGTATTACCGGAATCTAAACGTCGTTTTAAGAGCATCCAACAATGGGTCGCGTAAGGCAAAGTTCACGTCCACTTTAAAATGCTTTAGAAAACGGGAGACAGATATTTATGAGTTTCGGTTTTCCAGTGTCGGCGCACACGGCTTCGCCAGTGGGCCGCGACAGCCGCGAGAGGCCGGTGCCGGCCGCCGCCAAGCCTAAGCCGGACCTCGTCCGCGCGCACATGCCCTTAGACCCCAAGGAGAAACAAGACAGTGTGAGTTTACCCTTATTGCCTTTGAAATGAGATCGTAATACTAACCAAGCCTCTCTACCTTTCGTTGTATTTATTATATCAATGTAGATAGTTAAGGTCCGGTGTATATAGAAATAAAAGCAATACGCAATATGGGTAACTAGGCGTACAGCACACACGACAAAGACGTAAACAGCGACAAGCATATGACCAATATGCTATTTTGGTAGAAGCCATTTAGCAACTGGGGAGAGGCACCTCGCGGTGTAGTGATAGTGCATCACTGCGCCACTGAGACCGGTTCCTCGGTGTGACGCAGTTGAGACTATATATATAAAAAGTTGGCGCCTGCATGTGTCCGTTAGTGCGTACATTTTTTGTTTGGTATTAAAATGGTACAAATCTATAAAAAACAATTTTAAATATTTGTAAAACTATGTACATAATATCGAGTTCTTAGGTTTTCGCGATTGTTACACATAGGAAATGTAACTATTTTTCTGGATTTAAATCGCGTATATTTGTTTTTTCAAACAAACCGACGTTTCGGGCCCTTTACAGGTCCCATGGTCACGGTTGACTGAGGTGGTACAGTCTTCAACCAGTTATGTCTAATATTGATGCAAACCACCCTATTTTTTCACTATAGTTACAATAGTTATTAATTAAATACCTTATTTTTAATTTTACAAAGAAAACATTCCAATTTACGCTACATTATGTTTTACAAATTATTTTATTGAATGAATTTTTATTAAGTTCAATTTATTATTAGTTAATAATAGAAATTAGAATAAA